ATGAAAGTAACAAAATCAAGGTTTCAGAACAAACGTCCGTAACAAAAAATGCCCCAAACAATTCATCATCTCGCTCGTCATTTTCAAGATAGGGGGCTGCTGTTCCATTTACGCTAATGGTATATACGCACAACTATAGCTGGTTTACACATTAAATAATTTTTCGAAGAGATTATATAGCACGATTCTAGAAATGCTGAGGCACGTAAAAATAATGTTTAATTTTTTTTTTATTTCGGGGTTTTTCATTCAAGATTTTCAAGTTTTCCGCCCAATAGCAATTTATACATTTTAACGCTTCCGTGCATTATAGGAATACAAATGCGGACGGGCAAACCGAATTATGATGAACAGGTCAGGACATCGTTTTTTAATCCAGTTTGGATTTGAAATGATGAGGTTTCAAGTCAATGAAGGACTTCCAGTCCAGATTTAACCTTCTCCTGGGTCAATCAATTAGCGGCAGATTATCTTCTTATGTGCTGGATGAGTACAGAGAATATCTTCGTCAACGAATTTCACTGAATATAAAACTATGAAAACTGCATTGCTGTCATCGATTCAGCCAGACTTCAACCTCCAAAAGTCCTCTCAATTACTGTACCTATATGTAACCTCGAAAAATTTTCCTTCTCATCAATGCTTGATTTAAATTTGATCTCTTTTTATTTGACAAGATCAATTATTGCCGGGGTTTTCTTGAATTTCTCCACTCCGAATTTATTTTAGAAGCCTGATTTTAAAAAACATGGGCTAAGGAAGTGAAGGAAATAGTTTTAATTTTACCCGTTTTAATCCCTCGCGGCGGCTTGGAACTTGGTTTCTTATCAAGAACTCCCGAAAATATGCCAAAACATAAATTATAAACAATTATATTTTGTTTTGAGAATGCATTTTCCTTCACTGTTTCGGGGTTCTCGCTGCAGCAGCAGTCTCATTGACGGTGTCCTCCGAACTGAGTTCAGCAATCGTCGTCAACACCAAAGCGCTGGGATTTCCTAACGTTGCTTTCTTTACTGGGGTTGTTCCGCATGGCTGAGAGGGATTGCAGGCTCCTTCCTGTATCGGAGACACATTAGACTTCTTCGATCCGATGCCAGATTCAAGAAATCCGGCGACATCTGGCACATATCGAGAGGAACTTTCGCCGGTAGTAGAGCGTAATCTGAAATAAGGGAATGTCGTTAAGAATACAGCAGTAAATCACGGCAGGTCTGTCATTCCCGAGAATTAAGTTGGCAGAAAACGAGAGGAGGAGGAAGCCTAAATTGGAACCTTGACACACATCAGGGTGAACCAGCGAAGTTCAGACCGATTTTTGTTCTTTGGAAACTTCGAAACTCTGAAATTATGGGAAGTATATTGACGCCTCAAAATGAAATGGGTCTTGAATAGTTTCCGCTTATATTTTCATCCGCAGATTTATGGTGCTGTGACCATTCTATTACAGTATAACACGTGTATCTAAAAATGATACCAACGTGAAGAGAAGTACGTTCATTCAAACTGCTGCTGGCTCACTAAAAAAATCTGAATACTACCAAGTTAAATTTCTAATCAAAGAAGTTCAGTAACAAATACTATGAACCATCTTTCAAATGGTGTATCCTATTCATTTCATACGCATATTGTGGTCAATAATATCAAAAACTTCCAATTTGTATATTTTAGTTGTTGTTGACACTCAATTCGGGACAAATCAAGCCATTGATATACCAGATGGATTTTCTGCATCCGTTTGAAGATAAGCAGTAACTTTGGGAAATTTTTTTTTCACAACGTCCCTGTCGCAATATAACTTAAATAACCTCTAACTTCATATAAAGTCCATTTAATTTACTTTCCAAGTACAGTAGTATTCTATACGTTTATGTCACGAAAAATTTAATATGATGCCGGGGAATATTGTCACAGGTCGACTAGATGTCGCCCATGCATGCCCCGATTAACTCGGGAAAACCAGGTGCCGCCTGAGTCGGCACAACAACAGAATGTACGAGAGTACGACGCGGCGTACGAAACGCTGCGTCATCCTCGTAACTCGGAAAAAGTATTCCTGAAAAAGGAGTAAGTATTAATAAATTATTATTTTATTATTTTTATCTTTAAGAAAACAAGATTCCTTGGAAACCTAACCACACCAGGGATAGCGTTGGAGATAATGATCTCCAAGACTTATTCCACTCTTGTGAGTCAACATAATCATGAGAATTGAACTAATAACAATTGGACACACTGGCAGAAAGCCTTGAGGAAACTTTCCACCAGAGGAGGACCTGAGCCTGCTCCTTTCAGTGTGGAATTTTGGTCACTTGTCATCTGAGCTCCAGAGAGAACAGACTGCTATTTTTGTGTGTGCTGAAAATCATCTTGGAAATTTGTTGTTGGAAATTGGAAGAACATACTCAAGGAGTTGAGGTATTTACCTCAGGCCGCAAACGGCCGATTGAGACTACATCATTTTATAATTTGATTCAACTGAACCAAAACATTAATCTTTGTCACTGCTTGAGGCTCAGTATAGCCCCTGACAAATATGTTTCATCTCAACAATAATACGCGTATTCGAAGCACGCTTGATATTATTCACAGTCAATTTTTAAAAATCGTGAAATAAAAATAATTAGTACTGTATCAACATGCGCGCTTCTAGATGAGGTCATGATCGACGGGTTACTTAATATCGCCGCCTCACGCGAGAGACGTAATAAACTTACGAAGACTGTGGTGACTGAGATAAACTTTTGGATCTCTGAGCTAAATGACTCGATTGATTGCTCTTCATCAGCAGCCCATCCTGATAATTCCTCAGAGCTCTCCTCCAATCCGTTAATTCGTGAGTTTCGCCCTCGGAACTTCCGACCGAAATCTCTGACTCGTCGAAGAAATTTCCCCCGAATTCCGACAACCTGCGGATAATAATTTTGGCTCACAATTGTAACTTATTTAAAACAGCTTGAAGTTTGTAAGTTTCAAGAGAAACCAAATTTTTCTTGAATACATATGATTGTACTGCAAGGCTTCAAAAGAATTGAAGAAAACACAATCCAAATGCAAGCTAGTCCTTTCGCGAAGGGGGAATTTTTTCTTTGCTTTTGAATTACTGAAGTACAGCAATACACACAGGTAACATATAAACTTTATAGCATTTCTTGTTTTGGTCAGAGAATCCTATCACTGTAAAAGCCAAACCCAGAAAAACATATTACGTACCGTATTCAAAAATATACAGTTTATCACTTTATGCATATTTCAAAAATTAACGCATTTACTAATTTAGTACGCGCCCTCAAGTAAGACGCGCAGCACTTGTTTGTATAATAAAATTTGCATGAAACGTATACCCATATTATATTTGACGAGCGTCTAATTTTTGTGACTGGAAATCGCAATACAGTACTTTTACAATAAACGCATCAAATTTCAAATTTAGACGGATTGTACTAAATTTGAGAGTTAATTTCACATTGTTTCTATTTTAAAATGGTTTGTTGACATTTGTGAAAAAGTTTCCAGGTACTGTAGAATCAAGTATGACGCCCAACGATTTTTTTTTTATTTCGAAAATTTTACATAAACGCCCATATGATGCGAATCCCATTAGCTTTCATACTTCTGAAAAGTAAGGTGCGCGTGGTACTCAAATAAAGGGCAATAAATAATGAAACAAAACCCCAGATTTAGCGACGTGTTACTTACAGGACAACAGATCCTTTTGGCGTAACCCTCGACAAGTCAGACTCCAGCACACGGAATATTGCGCAAGCCATTTCCACGCCTGCGACACTCCCCTCGCTGTTCACGAGATTATCCCGGGCAGCCAAAGCCAGTTTAAGATGCACGTGCAAAACCGTCACTTTCGCCAATTCCGGCGCGAATCCTCTTCCATTCAACAGCTCTACTGCAAAATCCTATGTCGAATGGTGAGAAAAGTATTTTCCTTACCTGGAACTCTGTTCGGAGGTTAATTTTCCTCACACACGTAGGCAGAAAAAATAATTCGCGAAGGGGAAAATTTTGCCGATTCTATACCATTCGATAAAATGCTAGTTCTATGATGTAATAAGAACAAGTTCTATTTTAATGAGTTGACTGGTTTGTTTTCAATATAGAATCAGTAAAATTCCGACAACTTCATTCATATATACGAGTGTTACCAGCAGAACGGCGACCGAAAATGAGAGTTTTTGCCGCGAAAGGAATACAGCACATCGTTTTACGTCATACTAAATAAAATGTAAAACGAAAATTCAGAAAAAATCTACGAGAATCCTGAAATATCGCAGTAAATAATGAAAGAATTTCGCCGCGATGTCAGTTGGTGAGCCGATCACATAGAAGAGCCGTGCAGAGTTGGAATAACCTTTGTGATCATCCCTTTATTCTTAACGAGAAGTAATTTCATTCAAATTTCTTTCAACAGGACATAAACCCCACGCAGTCGGGGACGCGTAAGATGAATTACAGTGAAAATATTCCAAAACGGGGCAAACATTAAAAGATCCCCTGGAATCAAATTTAATTTGGATAAACCTACGTCGGTTGTCTTTCAAAATACAATCGTTCGAACACTAACCGTCAGGTTCCGGATACGAATGACGCTAGCCCTGTTCGATTCACTCTTCACACTTGCCAAGTCACTGGAGTATCTTGCAATGGCAATCGCAACAGCCTCGGCATGCGTCATCAAGAATGAGTCATTCATCTTGGAACCAGGTCCTTTGGCAATCTCATCCAAATTGCTATTAACGATTTCCATGAGTCGAGGATCCGACTTCAAATTCTTGAGATTCGCGTAGATCACTGCCAAATTTGCCGCATTCCGCTTCGGCTGCTGCACGAACTGCATCCACATTCCCATGAGATTTTCTCGAATAGATTCCTTGAATTCTTGTCGCGCAAATATTAAAACAAAAATGTGAATAAATGTCTAGCCCAATTGCGTGTCTCTCTCCGGAAAATTCCGCAAGAGAAATTGAACCCAAAGGATTAAAATGGTTTTTGCTTCAAAAATTAATTCAAGCTCCAAATAAATGAACAGCATCAATTAAATATGAAACAATGGACCACGTGCGTCCCGAAACACCTCAAGCACGATTGCTGAAGAAAGAAAAAATTGAAAAGATAAACAGCTCAAAATAGAGCGTGAACTATGCAATACCGTAATTTAAATGCAGAAATCTCCACACAGGAAACCAATACAGCATAATCAAACCGCAGGATATTGTCTGACTGAGAAACTCTTTCGCGCAGGCGTTCTTTTTCTTTTTTGCTGGGTAGTTTGGATTGCGGAAGGTCTATACTGTACTTATCACTCGTTTTTGGCGATTGATGTTTCAATTGGACACAGTATTCTGCGATGCACTTCAGCTAACTTAAAAACTTTCGAATCAGATTGTTTGGAATGACATAAATACTGTTGCAGTCACCCACTTCGAAGATTAAGCCCACAAATGATTTTAGGTAGAATATAAACCCTGCATGAGTTTATAATCAAGTTACTGCCAAAATTATTTCTCATTTTATTTTCTGAAGACAATATAACTGAAAAAAAAAACTTTTTCTATAGAATCGCATGGTCAACATAGGTTTCTACACATATGAGTTGTTTTTATCTAGAAGAAAATTCATCAGCGATGAACCTATTCTTACAGTTTTCAAGAAAGGATAGGCTGAAAGAGCACAAGCTCCTCTTAGAAGAATAAACTAATGCAACAGCAGTTCAAAATTCAGAACACCGCCAACTATCCTCACGCCAACTACATAACTCAATAAATTGCACGTGCAGCAGCAGCATCAATCTACCATTTCTTCCAAATAATATTCGCTTCATTTCATTTTAAAAATGGAACAACTTTTCTACGTAAAAAAAAAGACAATGCAAGAGAAATCTTACGAGCTCGGCGCTGAAAAATGATTTCAGCGAAAGTGCCCTGCATGAAATCCAGACGATTCGCCAGTTTCTTCTCACGAGCATCGGTCACCGGCTCCTCGTCCGAGTCACAGCAAAATACATGATTCGCGGGGAAAGTTTTCACCAGAATGAACATGAACTTAGGAAAAGAGGGCAACGGGTCAGTTTAAAAATATGCACAGAAATTTTCAGCGCACCTACTTCCACGACGGTTTCATTCAAATGCTTTCGCACGCCGTCCCTGATGGTCTGTGACTCATTGTCCAAAAAATTCAGGATCTCAATTACGAAGCCTTTGCAAAACCAGCCGATGGAGTTGCCCAATGCCAAAATCTCCTTTCCTTGAAGACTCACAACGATGGATACCTCGTCCCCATTCAACAGCGATTCGTTCCATTGGTCCACAAAGTCTTGAGATAGTCTCAAAAGCATGCTTAGAAAAAACGGTAAGGGGATGACGAGGAAATATCATTAAAAAGGCTGCATTTGTTAATGTTTAATTCATTCAATGCACTTTCTGCATGAATCTGCTCCAGCGCATGAAGCACAAGCATGGCTACTTGCCTATTCATCAGTAGAATCTCATTTCAACGCATTCCTGCTCACAACGAATTCCTTTTTCAGGCCTCTGCCCAATAACCAAAATGTTATTCAAATCGCTTTCCAGTGAGTCTCCGCATACCGAAAGACTCACACGACAATAAATCTTTCTATTTTGTAATACGAAATTTTGTAAGGGAGATGACTCATATGAAGAAATTTTTTCGCATAGCGAAAATTGTAAAAAAAAAAATGGTCCGATTTTAAAGTTATTGAGAAAAGATTTTTTTCCACAAGTATTAAGGAAAGGAAGAAAACAGATTTCCTTGGCGATCTATCAGAAATTTTTCATTACATCATCATGTTGATTGACACGTTAAAGCGGAGTTTCGTAGAATTATGACAAGAAATATGCTTCATCAAGCCTACATACGCAACATTTTAAAATACGTTATTATGAACTATTTTCATGTATTATTTTATTTAAAGTATCCAAGCTTCGAAAAAATGTACATATTCGCGATTTATTGTATCTTACGGCTGATACATTTTCAAATGAGTTTTATAAAGATTTCGAACGCATTCAAATTCCGCACCATGATTTCTGGAGGGCGTCGAGCGGACGAGAAATCCATTGACTCACTTTTTGAAGATGTCGGACAATACAAAAGCCGCCTCAGAAAGCGTCGTAATTAGACGCTGGTCGAATTTCATCACGGTTCGAAGCACGTACAACAGTTTGCGGTACGTTTGTAAAGCTGGGTATTGTACGTCCTCATCAACTTGTTCCGTTTCAAGTGATACCAGGGGCGGATCGCGGACACGAGACATAATCCGAACTATTCTGGTGGTAACTGTGAGGTGTCGCGACATGCGCAACACGCGTTTGACGACTTCTTCTCTAGCTTCCTCTTCTTCGGCCTAGCAAGGAACAAATTTCAAGTTTCGAAGGATCAAGAATCCGAGATTTAGTCACTGCTCTCGTGGGATTACGGCATCACGGACTGAGATCATTAGACAAATTCAGAGCTGAGAACAATGTGGCCAAGCGGATTAAATATGCATGGGAGGCATTTCGCGGGGAAAAACATGAAAACAAAATCCCAGCAGAGATTTTCAGCAAAAATAAGCGAATTACGAACAAGAAATAAATAAAACGCACCCTATTCAGTCTAATCAAACATTTAGTATTGAAGTGGGAAAATATGGTCTCGCGGCCTTTTTTCTTTCCAATGCGTTTCCAGAATACAATATGCGAAACTCTACTTTACAAAAAAAAGGGAATCATAGGCGTTGCGGAAATAAAGATGCATTTCGTTAGGGATACTAAAGGTGATGATAATACAGTATTAGATAACATCAAATTAGTTCATTTTGACGTGAGTTGAGGCTCAAGCGGGTCACATTTTGACAAGAAAGTATAATTCATGCAACATCTATCCAGTATTGTATCTTTGTATCTTGTATTTCTGCTGGTGATACATAAATCAGAAGGTTTAGCGAAGTGTAATTCTTCTTTTAAAAACGAGAACGAATAAAATCAAAGAAAGGACTGGATAACTTTTCTCACTACAATTCGAAGATCTTCACAACGCAGGAGAAAAGGTTTCAATAAAAGTTTAAAAAATTCTTGCCGTCCCATATTCAACATAAATGTTTCCTTACTTCGTTATTGAAGGTACAATATCGTCCTCACCTCAGAAACCTGATGAACGAGTCGACTCATCGTTTCAACCCATTCGCAAATTTTTTTCTGATCATCAAGAAGCGATTTTCTGAACGTGCTCATGATAATTTCTCCTAGTTTCTCGAATGAATCTTGCAACCGAACGTCTTCGGTCTTGACGCAAGCGAGAGCAGCGATTCTCTCGAGAGTTTCCGCGCTCACGTTGTCCCAAATTCCCATTTCCACGTCTTCAAGAGACAGAACCTGGTTGCGTACATGCTCGTAAACGAGCGAGCAAAAGCTGCGAAAATCCTGCAAAAGAAAAAACGAGAAAAGACCAGGTCTCAAAAATATGGCCAAAAACAACTGGTATAGAATACATCGGTATGTCTCAAGTTGAGACATACCGATGAATTTCAAGTTGTAGGTCACATATGTTGAGACTCTCAACATGTGACCTACAACTTGAAATTCATCGATTATTTAGCAACAATGACAAAATTACCGCTTTAAAAAGTATCAAGAAGCCACATCGGTTTTTCTTCCAGCGATAAAAAAAAAATCTGCAGTCGAGCATTTCGAAGGAAAGCTCCGCTAATACTTCCGCTCAGAAAAAAAAACGCTCATACGCGCGATTCCATTTTTAAGCAAAAAGTTGGACGCAGAATCGAATAAGCATACTACGAATGCAAATTATTGAACCAAAAACCAATTACCAGCAGAAATTAATCCGACATTCACGCTGAATGTTCAAATGAAACACGCAGGGCTTTTTCCGGTTTCACGCCAAACCTAGCTTTTAAGAGCGTCAAACAGATGTCGCCTGTGCCCAGACTAAAATCAAACGCACAGCTATCATTATACAGGCACACCTAAAATCATGCATCATCCTGTCCATTATTCAGTACGTACAAGCTCTGGCTAGCCTTCCGGTAAATCTAACCCAACATACCGTAGTGTTATCATCATAGTGGAATAGGACGGAAACGAGACGTATGAAGAAAAATAATTCACGATCACATAGAGTAGTGTCAAAGGGAAATAAGGTAGAGCCTACTTCAAAGTAAAAAACATAATGCTTGCCTTTTTCTCGAGTTTGAGGCGTGCCGTGGCCTAACACGGTCAGCTATACCTCACTCCTTTTCGGACATACAGATTTTACAGAAGTAGATACTGTACTTGAATCATATACAGTACTGATGAAAAAGTTGAAAATTTGAATGATATTTTGTGATGACGCAGCAGAAGATTGTACAAAAAAAGAGTACGAGTATGCATTAGTACATGATACAGGAAAGGATGCACTGAAAATATTAAGAAGCTTAGAGACAGAATAAAAGACCAGTCTCTCGGAAAAATTCTAGGTTCTCCAAAATCCAGGCAAAAAATAATATTAACAGCTGGCAGCTGTCGAGCTCAGCTCAATTCGACAGCGTCTCCGATACATAGAGGGTCGAAAATTGCATTCCAAATCAGTGTAAGAGGGTTTTGAGCGATCCAGAAATCCTCACAAATTATGCTTTCCAACAATCATACTCCATGAAATGTGCAGTGCAGCTTGAATACATGAAGTCTACTGAAAAAGTCATTGAAGAAAGGTTTTCTCCTTGAATTTCATTTACAAAAGTGTGGATTGCAGATTTCAAACCCTGGCGTCTATTGGAGGGGATTTCGAAAAAGTTCAATATGGGCCAGAGGTAAAGCTAAATTACAGAAGATACATAGAAACCAAATGTCCGCTGCTGTCTGGGAGTCTCCAAAACACTCGACAGCGGAGTCCATCACAACAACAGAAGGGAAAAACCTCCACCGTGAGTTTGACGAAAGCACGAGAAAGCATTCAAGAGTTATGAAAGAAAAACACGGAAAAATTCCAACAAGTCGAGAGGTAAATGCAAACTTATGAATACGTCCAAAACTCATGCAGTTTTAAACTTAGAATTCAGAACTTTTTTGGAAACTTCGCTTTTGGGAATTCTTCACCTGGCATAGCATACAAAAGCGAGTTTGAGATTCGCGAACATTATTCAAACAAATCCTCGTCTGATTGCCTTCACAAAAAGATTATATTTTGACTCAGAATTCCAAACCCATCGTCTTTCAACCCATTTTCTGGAGGCAACACGCGGAATACACAAATGAATTACAGGTACACTAATTTACATGCATCAAACTTAGGCGGAAGTGTCCGTTACCTCCTATGAGACAATACAAAGCTGTTTCTCTTCACACACAAAAAAATTATCAGTCCACAAAAAATCCACTCACCTCAACATGAACGTTATTCCCACCTGCACCCATCTGCGTGACCCAGTCCCTCGCCTCCAACATGCCCTTGTTATTCCATACGTCCAATAGCATCTGGACAACACCGGCATGCTGCGAAACCCATTCAGGCAATACCGGGAACACGCTATGCACAAAAAATTGCATCAGTTCTCGCCGACTGCTCGCTGATTCCGCAGAAGCCGATAAGGTTGAAACTGGCTTGTCCGGATTCTTCGCCTTGCAATCCTGCGGCTTTCTACCCCGTTGCTTGGCTGCACAAGAATTCCCGATGACACCCGGTTGAACTAAGGTTCCACCAGCAACCATGAATGCCGAAACACTGAAGAGATCGGCGACGAAGGATATCTGAAAATTGTGAGAAGGACAAAGCGAACCCTGAATCGCATACGATACAGTTGAACCTCAATAACTCAAAACCTCCGGTCGAATACTTCCCTATGTCGATTTTTTTTTGCAAGTCCATGTCTGAGTTTCCTAAAAACCAATGCATTAAGAAACTTCCCAACTAGAAGAATTCCCTCTTCGAACTTCCTTGAGTGGAATTTTCCTGGGATCTTTTGGCTATTATTTCATTGACATATAGGAAGGATAAAAGCAATAAAAATGCCCTTCGGTGTGTTTTGAAAGGTAGTGAAGGACTAATCGGGCAAATGAACCCCAACCTCCAAGTTTAGCATCTTGCCAACGTAAGATGGAATTTTAGGCCTACATCACTAATTACAATTTCCTTCAATATTTTTTTCTGCCCGAAACAAAAATGCTTGTTTCCATGACTGGAGACATCCCTAAATCTAATTTTTTCTAGTCCCTTGTAGTTTAACCTAAAGATTCGATAGTAACAGTTTTTTCATCAACCTTTTTCTTTAATGGTTCTTCTCAATAAGACGAGTGTTTTTCTTTCCCGAGCCAGGAAAAAAGTAACTTCACGCCGACTAATGCGATACTGAAATTAAAAATTCCTGCCCCACATTGCGTTATTCTTCAAATCAGGAAAAAAGAAGCTCTCGAAAAAATTTCAACATTCACGTTGACTTCAAACGAGGAAATACAGAACACCAACAGTCGGTGCCAAAAAAAAGTCCAAATTACCTTTGCTTCGTCAACAGTCCGGAGTCTCAGTAAATATTTCAGATGTTCAAAAATCCCGGCGTAATCTTTCGCCTGACCGACGCCACCAGAACTCAGCATGAATACCATCGCTCTGAGCATCACGTTCGTCGCGCTGTTCGTCGTCTGCAGAAGCAAAAGAAGCCGTGACTAAGCAGTAAAAGCTGAACGATTCATTGGTGGGATGGTGTGCAGGGTTCAATGAACGCGCGCTGCCTGTCATTGTGTCTACCTCGCCCACTTTCTCATCCACCCTTATTGTGTGTGCCTCACCTACCACATTGATGAGACTCGCGATGTGCGCAACTGTGTCGTATATTCCAAATTTAAATGCTTGAAACTGCTAATTACGTCTAAATATTGTAAACAAAATACTGTTGAATAGGTGACACAATCACAAACGATCTCCTACCAAGTCCCAACATTTGAAAATGGCGTTGGAATCGCACACCGTGATTGCAAAATTTCGATTGATTTTCAAAAGGAAAAAGTTAGGGATCCAAAAACTGCTGAATATTGAAAACTGAATTCCAGGCTAAAATGAAAAAATTGACTTATGAAACGTCTGAATTGCTTTTGTTACACTTTTCGTCAAGTGAAGTTCGCTGCAGGTGAATTAAAAACTGGACTTTCAAAGTAGTTATCAAATAGGAAAAATATGTCATCAAAGAACAATATTGTATGCCTAAAACTATACAGGTTGAGGTGCTGAATGATTGCCCCAAAATTTTAAATTCATGGGTTCTCAACTATTTTCAAATTGTATGCTTGTTAAAGCCACTTCAAATCCAAGCACTGACGAATTTAAAATTGCTGAGTTCCAGTTTCTGCAGAAATCGTACTTAAAATACAGTATTAGAAATTATGAAAATTCTGGAGAAAAAATTACACCTTTAATATCCTCCTGTTCGATTTTTGACCCAACGATGATAGAAGTACTCAAGATCAGACACAAGTTTTTTATTTATTTATTTTACTCTTCCGCAGTCTTCTTTTTTTTTTTTAATTGATCACGAAGGACTGCACATCAGTTCATCAGTTAATTTTTCTTCTGTTTCATCCCATCAAAGTGGACAATTCTCCGGAATGCATTGCTTTGTCTCATCTACAGAATCAACGCGACTATAAAAATAAACTTGACAATTAATTTACACACTTATACATAGAAATTATCTATAAAAATGCGCTTAAAACACTTACATTCGCGATTTCAATAATGCTCCGGATGGTTGACGTGAACTCGTCAATGTTAGATTTGAGCGTTAAATTATACAGTCGGGAAATTGCTTTCCCAAAAGCGGCGGCCTTCTCTTGATCCGAACTTTCAATGACCACCGTCATAGCGGTCACAAAGAACCCACGCAAATCTTGTCGGGATGCACATCTGAAAATCCGACAGTTTCGATTAACTAAAAATTGAACTGATGACTGACAACTGAAAGTCCTTAAAAAGGAATAGAAAATTTAAAAAAAAACCACCAGTGTTGAGCAGCCAACAGACATATTCAGTCATCGCTTTACACTCCACAAAAAGATGATTACCGCTGCGAAGCCTTGAAATGGCGTCTGCAACTCAATTGCTTACTTTCAATTTTATTCAGGTTCGTCAGCATGAGTTCAGTGAAATTATAGGTTTGGCTAAGTTATAGTTAACTGTTAGATAAGCTTAAATCAGCAGCATCAAAAGCACATTAAAATAAACAGTATTTTTAATGAAAATTTAGCGCCCATTTTCGATCACCCCATCACCAAAGAAAAAATATTTAGTGAAATAGCTCACCTATAAAAGATGCAGATGAAATCCAAAAAACGAATCCAGGTAGGCTTCAGCCCGATCAAGGCAAACTTCGGGAATGCGTTCCAAACATATTTCAGCACACGGTTCGTTAGAATATCCGGTTTCGACCAGTGTTCCTCGTAAGCTGCCAAAATCTGATGAACGTCATCGTATACATATTAAGTTCATCTCCTTCCATCGAAATCAGTCAGAAGTTCTTTTTTTCCACTGCTGAAAGATTTATAATTATTCGGGAACACCAAAATGGCAGGCCAATTTATGCAAAAAAAAAACAAAAAAAACATCATGATCAAGAAGAAAAAGGCAGCGACGACGAGTGCGTTCGGTAGAAGTTAGCATCAGTTCATCATAAATTCAATCGAACAAGGGTCAACCAGATCATGCTTCGTCAGAATACGTAATGAGAAGAAATTGACAGTTTTTATCGCCATAAATCAATAAACATGAACGGCAAAACAACTTAATTCCAAAATTACGGTAATTGCATAACATAGTCGACCATACTGCTGAAAACAGCACTCCGTAAAAATCGGTAACCTTTCCCACGATACTTCTGGTATTCAGACACTTCTTGATGCTGGAAAACCTGTTACATTAAAAAAACATTACAGTATTTGAACTTAGAATTGTTCATGCAGGCGGGAATTTTGGACAGTGGGACATCATCTTTTCGACGCAAAATTAAAATGCAAGCGAGAAGAGCACGTAAAATGCATGTAAAAAATGAGGATGTCAAATTGATATGAAGTTTAATAAATTTGTCCCCAATTTTACCTAGCATCAAAATCTCCAAGGTGTTCAAAATACATTGGTCTCAAAGCAAGCAGCAGGAAAGATCCAAGGAAGCCTTCCGTAAACAAGTTCGTAAGTTTTCTCACGCAAAAAAATGCTGTCAAAGTGCCCCATAATAAGGCCTAAAAACACGTCGCCTCTTTTCTGAACACATTCAGTGATAAAAAGGAACTTCTCTTCATGCCTATGCTTGCATTCTTGAAAATAAAAAATTAACTTGATTGGGAAATTTCAATTGAACAGTAACAAACACTAGCTTGCTGGAAACAGTTTTTTTGACTCACTGTCAAGGCACGCTTCCCATTCTTCGTAGATTTTGTGCCAAAAAGTCCTTTCAGAAGACGCAACAATATTTCCTCTGTGAAGAAAGCTTTTTTCTCTCGCACGCATTTTTCGAAAATCTCCAACGACCACGCTTGCAGAGGAAACTCCGAATCCCTGCAAAAAACGAATGCGCTTTTACCAAGTACCGTAAAATACACGTAACTAACTTCACTCACTTCAATCCTTCGAGCAGAATAGTGCTGAGGATGCTCGAAACTGCTTTCTCCAAGGATACGCACAGGTTCTTTTGTTCCGTCAACGCTTCTTCTGTCAAAGTGTCAGGTTCGGTCAACGCGAATCGGTCTCTTTTCCGAGGAGAGCGAGATTGTGCTTTTTCCAAGCGTTTTTCGTAGATTTTCGAGTGGACTCTTGCGCCATTTGCAAGTTCACATGCGAAAACCCCTCCTTGAATCACAAAAAAAACGTTTTAACATACAATTTTCGAATCAAAACCGAAACTGGATAAAGGGGGAAATCAATCTTTGCTCCAATTTCACACTCGCTTGTATACAGAATATTTGTGATAGGTTAATTCTAGATCTGGTCGATTTCGAATTATTTGTCGGATGAAAATGGGACAAAAGCGATTACCGCTGTACTTAATTGTTTGTCAAATTTCACATTTAAAAATACGTCTAATTGATGTCATTTAAGTGACTCATTAACCACGAATCCCCGTGCGTCATTAAAACGAATAATCAGCGACTCCCGCAATCTTTTGGGCCTTAAACAGTGAAGATTCTTTCTCTTGAATATAATAGTAATTTCATGATTTCATGAACCATTTTGTCATTCCTTATGATCAAACTACAGTAATTACATTATTAAATCAATATCTGACAAATTTTAGGAATAACTGAGTTAAAGAATAGCCTCTCTTTTCCTTTTAATGCACCTAATAAGCAAGACTTTTCAATTACAGGTACAGTAGAGCACTTTGAATTTTTCTGTTTGTGGATAATTAGAACATGTACTGTCATTAAAACTTGAATTACGGCATACATTTTACCTGCAATATAAATGATGCATGCTCAAAACTTTTTGCACCATATATCCCGAGTGGCTCAGAATAAGAATGGTACTTAGATTGCAGACGCATTAAACTCTAAATTTGTTTTGTCAAAATTTGATCATGCGGGAAAACACAACAATCGGTGTAATGGAACTTTCGTAATAATCGTAAATGCATAAAAATTTCCGCACAGACCTTCATTTCTTGATGAGATCAGATGGTGGAAACTAGAAATAAGAAGCCTGTCACAACAGTTGAACCGAATAAGGAATGTAATGCGCACACGAACATACGACTTACTACAGTAATCATTGCGATTAAATACACACCTACAATAGAACATGGCTTCATCATGAACACTTTATTCAACAACGGCACCAATCATCACCGGGATAAAATGGAACCATCAGAAAAGCTCTCAGGTAAATAGGACAAAAATTTCTTACCGACGATGAGTGCACAGGAACGAAGAACCGTGTTCGGCGAAGATCCCATCTTTCTAAACAGCTGAATCGCAGCAGCAAGAACACCGGTTCTCTTAGTCGTTCCATCAACTGCTTGCAATAAAGTTTTTAAATGACTTCGAACAAGCTCAGAAAGGTAGAGAGTAATAGGTGAACGCTGTCGAGTTTGAGGTTGCAATTCGACGCGACTGTAATCATTGCAATAAGCTTTCCCATGCGCATGCGCCTCCAAAACATCAGCTGTATCATTTGCCATTTCGAAGAGATTCGTCTTCCCAGCGATTTTGCGGCTCAGTCGGTCGTCCAAAACACCACATAAAGATGCTATCAGGACAAAGAGGTCGAAGGTTGCTTTTGCTTCGTCAGAAACGAGTAACTTCGCCCACGAAGAAGACATTTCCTATAGATTCGTAACGCGAACCAAACACATTTTGTTTATACTCTTGAAACTTGTAGAAAAAACGCATGCGGATATCGCCTGCATGATTTTGCGTAGACTTGCAGTACAACTCTCATAATTTTTCTGAACTCCAAAGAATCATCAAAATTATACACAGAAGAAATGCGTAAGCAAACACATTAACGGAAGAATGAATAAATTACATGATGCATCAACTGGCCCTCAATTTCGCTCCTACTGAACTCATGCATTTAAACTAAATTCATCTCAAGTTTTGTCGACGGGCCAGAACTAATTTGTATCATCTACTTAATGATATACTGTACCGAACAAACGTTTGGTCAAGATAAACATCAGTTTAGTGCATGCAAAAGCTTAGTTAGTACTTAGGCTACGTAATGTTATGTAATTTTCTGCTGGGTCAGCTACGTTAGATCGGCTGGTCAAGTAATTCATTGATTAGATCACGTCAAGTGGTCGCTGAAGTCGGGGATGCGATCAAAACTGAAGCTGCAGAAGTAAACTAATCCATCAAGCTTGAGTTAAGCAAGGATATCTACAACTCTCACGAACGGTTTATAGTAAAACAAACTTAGGGAAAAAATAACTGATTTAACTTACTCGGATCAAGGTCATATTCCCATCGGAGTTCAAAAGCGTTTCGCAGATACCGCCAGGTGTAATATGAAAATACACTGCAAGGGATTCCCTGGAGGATATGGTATTTGTCAAAGACGAATTCTCCTGAGAACTTTCCAGCTCACTATGTTGCGATATTTCAGTTATTATCGCCGCGTGCATCGAGTCATCCATAGTGAAAATACTTGAGGGCAGCAAGGAAATATCCTCCGTGAATGCCTCAGCGTCCGGTTCCATGTTAAGGTCCGACGAAGGCAGGCTATCGCTAATGGTTTCATCCATTATTCACGCGAGGTTCAGGCTTATCTCACGGACGGGTTCAGCAATAAGACGATTCCACGATGCGAAACGATCCCCGAGAATCCAATTCACACTGGCTCCGAGAAGTCCACGGTTACTTTACTTTCATTCTTCGTTTCCCTTTATGTACAGAAGAGGAACCGCAGATCCATAACAAGCAATTCCCGTCCAACAATTTACCAAGATTATCGTGTGGGAGATTATTTGTGGCATGGATGCTAAACGAAAACGTTTCACCAGCAGCAGATGTTCGCAACAGAAAAATAAGCAGACACAACATAAACAAATTTGTCAAAGCATCCTGCACAACGTCGTAACAATCATCTCCATCTGATACCAAGCCTAACACTTATATCGGAGGCAATAACACAAAACTCTTCGGAATCACTCCTTCCACTAAGCAAAGACATCTTTTCAAACTTTCCATGCTGATGACATATCTCTCCTGCACACACGCAGCATAATCCGCAATTAGCCGCACAATGTACCGATGAATAACCAACGGATTAGCTGCGCACACTTCGGTCATTTTGTTGGCAGTACAGTATTTAATGTCGCACCCTCCCATGAATATTCTAGTAATCCCGGATGAGATTCAATCCTATGCTCGAAGAGGACGCTCCGCCGGGATCAGCAGTGACGAAAAAGTTCTGCGTTGGTGCATTTTCCTCGCTAAATATTTAAACCTTTGACAATGAGAGGCTGACATTGATCTGGGTGCTACACAGGAACAATTAAACACGTACACAATTCATCCGAAAATTGGATTGCAATCTGTCATTACACTACTGTACAGTACTGCATTACAGTGCCAATGCAGTGCGTTTAAATAACCCAAAGGTATTCCCCGGGTTGTGCAGTATGGTAGAACGTAATCTATTATGCGTCGAAAACAGAACCTCTTTCAAATGTTCAAGTTATTTTGCTTCAAGTGTCCATGATTGAATGGGGGAGACATCAGCTATAAATGAATGAGTCACCCGTAGACAGTAATGTTACGGTTCGCTCAAGGCGAGTGTCATTATGGGCAGATGTCGCATCTTTTCACTTTGTAGAAGATTTGTTGAACATTTCAGGATTTGAATAAAAGCTACTTATTTTCCAACATAGTATTTATACCTGAGCAACCAGTTTTCGGAGTGAATCTCCAATTAGTTAATTAAAGAATTAAAACAGCAGAAACAGAATTTAAATGAAGACAGTTTATCATTGCAATGTAAGCAATTGTGCATGATTTCCTTCTCAAAGCTTCTCCAGTTTCAAGAGGGCTTCTTTTCCAGTTAATAAGTATATTTGAAAGAATATTGCTCTACATCAAGAAGATAAAATGGTGACTGAATAAATGCTGTCACACATTTTTCTTTATGAGCCTTAACTTCTTAAGATCAGTATACATTCAGGGAATTTAATGCAGGACAGGTTTAAATAAGTGTAATACAGTACAGTACTATATCATGTATTCAATATTTATAATCCAGAATTTTCCCACATCAATTCAGAAGAAGAAGTTGGGAAGTATGAATAGTCATGACACAGTTAATCTGTCACATTGAATTAGTTGATAACATATGCCCTGTTTCCCCACAACATTAAAAATCATGAAGTCTTTTCTATTTTCATAGGTCCCTGTGAGTTTGAATCAACAAGCTTCAACCATACAACATTCATGGAATGAAAACACCGTCAGCAATTAAAAAAATTGGTCTTCTTCGTCTCCTGGATCAAGCTCACACACAAAAAAATACCTCATTCTCAACAGGGGAACGTGCCATTACTCAAACCAGATCTTCAATAAATATTTCGCATATAAGCCACCGAAGAAAAAAAAATCACAAGCACACACGTTACTAGAACAACCGACCATCATCAGACTGTCCGGAAAAATTGCTTTGAAACATGAGAAAAGCGAATTGCTGACATTATTTCTTGGTTATGTTCTTTTTTTTATTGCAACAGGCGTATCTATCGGATATCACCGAAATTTCCAAGGGCGGAATGCAGAACATTTCGACAAGAATATCATAAGTTCTACATGAGAGATGAGACATTCATCAAACTCGTTAAAGCTGAATGAATGACTATTGTACCGAAATTGGTAAACAGAGAACGCCGAAAAATCTGGAAAAAAAATCTCGATGCACGCATAGTTCTAGGTCAGGAAAAACACTGGCCAGGGAACGATAAACCTTGTCAATTAATCTTTCTTCTTGGAATCCTGCTCGTCGGGGACTTGAAGCCACTTCTTCAAACTGGGCTTCAAGAAGGGGTAAGACAAGAACACCACGTGGATGTGGAAGTAAAGCGACGTGTAGACTCGCCACCACTTGTCCGTCGACAGCAGCAAGAACGGGATCACGGCGTAGGAAAGACCAAACCACAGCCACAGCACTTTCAGCGGTTTCAACGAATAGCGCACCCACTTCTTGGAGAACCAGTACTTGTACACGGGACTTCGGTCCAACAAATCATAGAACTATACAATGAAAGGCAAGAAGACGGCTGTTGAGAATGAATCAAAATCACTCCGCAACAATGAATTGTTCAACAAGCGAACCTCTGTTCAAAATTTCCTTTCACGGATTTTCCACTTTCTACAAATATGGAACAAATCCCTTTATTCTTCGAAAATTCACTTCGTAGTGCGCGTAAAAAGCACTGTCAGATGTCACTACTGTACTTCAATAGAATACCCAGCATTTTTACTTCGTCGTAATGGATTAGCGAAATATACTCAGCCAGAAATAATATTTTGCATGAATGAATCTCAGAAATGTCTCCGGGTTTCTGAAGAACATTTTAAATATAGTCCAAAGAACATGAAAATAAAAACACTCAGCAACAATGAATTGTTAAACAAGCACAGCTCTGTTCGGAATATCCTTTGAAATATTTTCCACATTGAACAAATATGGAAAAAATAAATTTATTCCTCGAACATTCACTTCGCAGAGCGCGTAAAATTTTGCAGCACTGATAGATGGCACTACTGTACTTACATACTAGGTTATATATGCCCTGTAAATTGATCAGCGAAATATACTCAGCCAGAAAGAATATTTTGCGTGAAAGAAGTTCAAAAATGTCTCCACGGGTCTCCAATGCACATTTTAGTTAAAATCCGCAAGAAATTCCCGAATACAAAATTTCCTTTCATTCAAATAAATGTACAGTATTGCATACGCATCAATGTCAACTTTACCGTAATTTTTTGGAAATCGTCAACACCCTGAATTTTAAGGTGCCACAGATGTCACTGGCAGTCACAATACACACATCACTATATACTTTCATTTCTCATATTGATTATACTGGCAGCAGCAGGATCAATATACTCACGTCACGTTCCCGACTGATGATGATGTATTCGTTGAAGAAAGTAACGTAGTAGCTGAAATTCAAGCCATGCCAAACAGCCAGAAACGCCATAGCTACCATGTGACTGACGTGCTTTTTGTTCAAAAACTTCATCCGCTTGTAGATGTAACTATAAAGAGTAAGAGTTCCAAAACATTTCTCTTCATGAACCTCACGATCCCACGCTCGTAACATATCAACCAACACAGTTGTGCACGACAGCTTCGAACAATTCACGACACACGTTCATTATTACACTGCAGGTAGACTCTCTCTCTCGTCTACAACGAAATTGTTTCTGGTGTCCTAAATTTCGTTGTAGAAAGAAAGAGAGAGTTCACTTCCATTACATTCTCAAAATATACAATTCGACGAAACAAACGCACTTACCCATCCAAAAAAAAAAAAAACAACTCACTTGGCAACCCAGGCATTCGTATTCGTGTTGAAACACAAAATCATGTGTTGATACTCCGTCGCAGTTTCGTAAACGCTGACGTGAATGTTCCTGCACCCGTCCCATTTGGCTTTCGTGATGGTTTTGGTGGGATCCTTGGGATCGGGTTGCTCTTCGAACCCGTTGAACGACAGTCCGGATAGAATACAAGCACCTTCCGTGATCAGCCAACAGCTCAGGTACTTGGCAACGCTCACCTTCGCCCACACGACCAGCAAACATAATCGCTGCCACAGCGGACGGTTCTGCAGAAATTTACAATGAATTGGATTTTAAAAAAACGATAAGAAAAAAATGGCATAGTCATCGGAAATTAAATTTCTCGCTCACTCCAAGAAATTTGTTCCCAGAAAAACGAACACCCGGCATTTCAAGCGCATCTGAGGGTTACTTTTGCCAAATAAAACTACAATATTTGATCGACTACTCATTGTATTATTGCAGGTTTACTATAATGTGAAAAATCAGATGCAAAGGAAAATTCGCAAATTATTCCAATGAAAAATTATATTTACGGGCAAATTGGAAAATATTCGGCTTCCGATGCCCACAGAATCGTTATGTTGGGTGTTCTGTTTTTTTTTTAATCAGGCAATCTGTCAATCTCTGAACTAGTATACTTTTGGTCCTGCTCATGATCTTGCTCTCGTTAAATCAAGTAAAGGCCGCATCTGATTTTTCACACCATGATAAACCTGCAATAATATAACGAGTGATCGATCAAATACTGTAGTCGAGAAAAAAATTGTCTGGCAATTTTTGGGAGGCCTTTTTCCTCAAGTTCGACCTACAGGAAAACAAATGCACAATGTGTTCTCCATGGGAAAACGTTCAAGAACCAATTACGCCCTTGTCTAAGGGCCCCACAGCATCTCTATTTATAATTTTTTTCCGGCAACTCGGACACCTTCTTTAATGAAGATCGAATAAACGCAATGATCACTCACCAGCAAGTCGTCACTCGCTGCGTAGTCAACAGGCATGTAACCGGAACCAACAACGTAAACCCCCGTGTACAACAGACCCAGGACCAGGCGTCCGAGGGCCACTCCCAAAGGAGGCGACAACGGGTATCCTTCCGAGTCTCGGATCCTCTTCAAATCCCCTCGAATGAGGAACTTGTAACGCTTCATCGGAAACTGAGGCCCGACCAGGAACGAAGCCGGAAACAAGGCGTGGCCGCCGAGCTCCAAGAATGACGGGCATCTCCTGAGTCCATTCAACTTTTGCTCCTTTGACAACGTTTCCTGCAATTATTTCAGGGGTTTATTTTTCTTCTTCTTCAAGGTTATCTGATCAACTTTTTTTTAGCCCATTTGAATCACACTCATGTCCAAATGTTGCTTTTTTTTCCATGGGGAAGTTGCGGCGTTTATTAGGCGTTTATTTTCTCCACACAGTGTTCTTTATGACGCGTTGACGTAATTGTTCTAGTGCTGTCATAGATGTCGCTGAGAGTCACAATGAAATCGACGTGAGAGTATAATCTTGACTGAGTAAGAGAATACAGTACAGTAAGACCCCCACATGCGGACACCTCGACATGGGGACAATTCAACACAGGGATACTGAATTTACATGAGGGCATTGCATGATAAAATTACAAATAAATTTGAGGAAAATTGACTTTTATTAGGCTTAATTGCAAGAAACATATATTTACAACCCTAAGATCTATGTAAGAAAAATTCATTGGTACTTTTCCCATCCATTCAGCTAATTTAAAAAATTACCTGTAGCACAGACAGACTTCCTTCTTTTCTTGTGACTTGGATGTTATTTTTACAGATGACACCACTTCAATGAACTGTACAGGGGTATACTATTCAATGCTCCAAATGTTCTTATTGGGTTGAAAATATATTCACTTAATCAAATTCAAGTGGCAAACACCTTTTTCATGGAATTCTGAAGAATATTTCTTCCATAAAACACCGATTAAAAGTTATATAATGTAAGTGTATGGGAAAACAAGATTCAACTTCGGGACACTCTTGATGCAATTATGTCCGCATCTGGGGGTCTCACTGTAATTTCTCTTATTTTCTCACGATTCATCCTCACAAAAATTGTACAACGATTTCCCGTATTTTATCAACACGGCACTGAAGTACGTTTTCATATTTTCGCGTGAAAATGTTTTCTTTCCCCCCAGATATTTGCACAGTTTTGATACAGATTAAACGCAAAATTAAATGCGCTTTAACTGGATTTTCATTTGATATTTAGAAGAGATACAAATGAAATTTCATCTCAACCCTTTACAAATTGCAATGGATAAATTTCGTGCATTCAAATATATACTGTATTTTTTTCAGTGGCTTCGAGTTTAATTTAAATTGCCTTTCTAATATGAAGTCCAATAATGTCGTCCCATCCTTGGCAAATTAAATACAATTGCAAAGCCAAAAACTTGCCTTTTTTATTCATCACAAGAAAAGTGCTCATCCCAAATTTTGAAATTTTCACCAGATCTGAGAAACTTCAGTTCTCCATGTGCAGTGTCTTGTAAAATGCCATAGAAGCTTTGAAAAATAGGAAAAACCCAAAACATAATCGGGAAAGTAATGACTTTGTTTTTAATTTCTAGTTACGCTAAAAATACTTGATCGAACGCGGAACTGGAACAATCCTTGCCAAGGAGAGATAAGGGATTTCGGAACGTTTCAGAAACTTAAAAAAACTCCTTCTGAAGATCGAATTACGCACAAGGTATAGAAGTTTTCAAAAAGTAATTAAAATGGAAAAAGGAAGATCAACCACAAAGTTCATGTCTTGTGCTTTGTTCTTCTTTTTCATCTTCCACCTACTGACAAGCAACTCTGAAGCAACCACAAGAGAGCTTTCACAATTTTTTTTTATAATGTACCTTCCAATGACGTTCTTTGGTATACCAAGAGTCCGAGACATAATTCTCCAGAAAATTGTAGAATCAATTTTAGTACTGAACGGTACTGCACACTAAGTATACAGTACAATATTTCATTATCCATTCGCTAAAGATTTCCTTCGCTAGAACACAGCAGTACTTTGAACCCTGCTTATTTTGGGAAGGCGATAAACATTTTCAGCTGTAAAATAGCAACCTTTACATTCAGAATAATTTGAAAGTTATTTTCATTCGCACATGTTTGTCAATAAATCATCAAAACGCTCATTATTAATTTGTGCGATTAATCAAGCAATTTCTGAATTATCACCAAAATGCTTCAATAATTTAAAACATGTGCAAGCATGCAAACTCCCTGTACAAATTAAAAAAAGAAGACCGCAAGTATCGTAGGTCTTCTTTTTTTTTCACAGTAATTGATGCGTCTGATCCCCCATTTAAACCTCGGAAATGAAAAAAAAATTGCAGTGGTCAGTGGTCAACAAATGATAAAATACATTAATACTCGTGAGAAATGATACACTCCATTCAACAATTCAAACCCGACTCACGACGGAGCAAACACTGATTGTCCAAGCCTTCGACTTTTAAAATTTAAAGAAGAAAAAAAAAATGAAGATAAAAAGACTCACTGGATCCTGTTGCCCGTCGTAATAGTCGAAAGCAATCCCAATCAGCCTCAGCGTGAGCACGCAATGCGACAGCGTCCAGCTGAAATTGTAGTCCTCGGTCTCAGTTTGCCAGTACCCAAACAGAAGGTACGCCAACTGGAACACCACCGAGAATAACGGCGAAACATACGTTTTCCCGCACGCCACCAAAACCAGGTACTGCACTAGGATGCACACGAGCGCGTGACACACATCCCACCCCTGGGTGAACACACCCAGCACAACCCCGCAGCCGAAAAAGAAGGCATTTTGCACGACGCTCGGCGCACCCGAAACCGCGAGACGATGAAACACGGCAATGGGGTATCCGACGAGGAGAGCGAGAAGCAGGCGGAGACTGGGTTCGCTGGTGCCCACAAGAGTTGCCAGGGACGCCACGGCCGAGTCCAGGGCCGCCACGGCGCCCGTGACGTGCTGAGACAGGAGGAGAAGACCCAGGGGCCGCTGGGAGGCGAGGGACGCGTTCACGGTGGCGGCGGGGTCAATGCCCCATATCCGGTCCGATACCACGTCCGGCGGCGCGAAGCTCATTCTGAGGCCACTTTCCTTCCTGTTCCGTTCGCCATTCAGAAAAAACCGTTAAGATCAACACCGTCTTCCGTTTCCCAACCAACAGATGGGACCGGGTTCTACACACACACACACACACACATACGTACCCACACACACTTTGCAATACCGCACTGGACACGCATGACCCACAAAAGCACTGAACAAGTCGAACCTTTTAAAGCCAAATTTCAAGGGACCAGCAAACGAATTCGAGTAAGGCAAACAAACATTTTTGATGGGGGAAAGAAAGAAGAATTGCAGGAAATTTCAAGTACCGTGTGTTCCAAGATGCAGAAAGAATTGGTGGATCAAAATGTCCCCAAGTCAAGTCTCATTTTCCCCTAGACTTAAATTATATACTTTTTAACTGGTGTTTTATGGACAGAATACTCACCATGATTCCATGAAAATAAAAATTGTCTCCCAATTTAAACTGATTCAATCAATCGATTTTAAAAATAAAATTCAGCTTGAGATACTGTATGACGAGAATGCGGAAGAAAAAAGCAACCCAGAGCAAGAGGTTGCCAAGCACTTCATTTCGCCTCCATTACGACTTAATTAAAACTTCTGATTTTACTGATGTACTGTTATAATAATTCGTTAATCTTTTCGTACCACCACATTACATCGAATTTCACATGAATACAACGTCGTCTATCAGCAGTAGATGAACATTAATTCTTCCCAAGTCGAAATAGAGCACAATTTTCGCAAAAATACTGCACATGGACACGAATGAAATCATTTTCGATGAGACGAATACACGGTAGATGAGCGTTTCACATTTGATCCCATTCCAAGTACCGCGAACTGGACTTCCTCGACGAGAATAATTACGGCAAACAGGTGTAACCTCTCTCCGACTTGAACAAAAATCAAGTTTCACTCCCATCAAACTGGTTTAACGACTTCTTACACTAAAAGTGGCGGGCTTCGGTCAGACAAATGGCATGAAAGATAAAAAATCCCTTTCTCTTTCAATACCAACGCAGTACTTCGCAGCCGGGTGGATTCGTCGGGAAGATCACTCTGAATGAAAAGTGGTGTTACATTCGGGCATCAAATTCGCGGTGCGAAGGTTATCAAACATTGAGAGGCACAGTACTTCAACTTTAAGCGCAACCAATTTTCGCACCAAGTACACTTAATCGAAATCAGTTCGCAGGAGATTCAATCAAAGGATACATATACTTCTACAAAATTTCGTATCGCTCAGTTTCAGAAGTGGTGGTACGTTCGGGCATTATATCGCGTTGTACGAGTCATCATTGCAGAATTACTTGAATTTTACACACAACCGATTTCTGCACCTAGTGCACTTGATCGATATCAATTTACGAATGACTCAATAATAGGATCCACTACATTAAAAAAATAGCATAACGCCCCGATTCAAAAGTTGCGTAACATTCTGGCATAAAATCGTGTTGTGAGGGTCATCCAACAGCATAGATTGATTACACTACTTCAATTTTACGAACAACCAAATTCAGCACCAAATTAAACTTGATCAAAAATCAGTTCGCAAGATATACATACACCGTAGAATTAACTGTTCTACAAAATGTCGCTTTTATTCAAAGCGCCTAGCTGTGACATTCGGGCTTAAAACGCGTAATGAGGGTCATACATAAACGGAGTTGTTCAATTTCACACATGAACGATGTATGCCCCACATACACTTGATCGAAAACAGTACATTGAAGATTCAATCATAGGATCCACCATTTTGATTGCACCTAAATCCCAACCGAAATCGGTTCACATCAAGCATTCAAACCACTGAGGTACGAAATTCGGTATCGCTCCGATTCATAAGCGGTCTGCCATAGGGGCGTAAAATCGTGTTGTGGGGGGTCAAATAACAATGAAAAAAAGTACTGTAATTCATTATTACACAAACTGTAACCCGCCGTCTCAGCAGCTAGTTGACTTTTTCGAGATCAGTTCACAAAAGATTCAATCATTGGAGCCACTGCTGTTCAACAAAATAACATCTGACTCGCACTCCACAAAATCTTCTTCGATGCCCACTGGTCACGGTTCCACGGGCACTGGTGGCCGAGAATTCAACACACGCGGCTAAACTTAGTCGAGTGAGGAGTGTATGAAACGGAGAGGACAGAGGTTCCCGCGCTCGAAGACCATGCGCACACGATTGCCTTTCCGACATCTCGAAAGCAACAGTGTTGCCGAAGAATTCCAGTGTTTCCCGGGAAGGTTGAACAAGGGAATGAGGAACAAGGAAGTGGTCTATACGGATATGGTACGCATACCACTGTCTCAAAAATTGTGGGAAAAAATGGGCTATATGGGATGACTCACTCAGCAACAACTCACCAAAGGTGCCACTTCCTTCAATTTTTCTATTTTCTATTTCCATTCATTTGAAATTGTAGCCCAGGAAAATGCGCAATTTTTGTCCATGGATTCACTTTTGTTCAACATTGCATATTTTGGATTCATTTTTTTAAATCTACAAAATGTTGCTTGTTTTCTTCTCAATGCAGATCAACAGTTGAACAATGCACCCCCTTTTTAAATTAACAAAATGAAAGTTTGAGAAACATTTCTTGGATTTAAAGAATGGACAGGCATGTATCCCCATCAGCATGATATTTCAGGAAGTAATTCAAAAATTTGTGGCACAATGAGAAACTAGTTGTCCTTAAAATTTAATGTATAAATTTCTATAATCATGTCAAATCAAACATTAAGCATATAAGAGTTATTTACCAATAACTACCCAAATGTCCCTTTCCTTTTTTTTTTACAAAAGAAATGGTAGTTACAAACCACAAAAATGATAAACTTTAAAACACAACAGTGTATTTGCAACTGCACAACTTAAACTTTCCATGTTTGTTTTATCTTTTGTGAATCTTAAAAACTTGTTACAAATTTGAACTCTTGTCAACTAATGGTATTCTTGCTTGAAAACTCCTCTGTCTGACATTCCCTGTTGCAACTTGATTTAAATCCTCATGAACTTGAAATTTTTATAAATGACAATGATTACTAATTCCATGAAAATATTTGATCAAGTAAATTTTGTTTTCAATGTAAATTAGAGATTGTTAGAGGATATTCCAGAAAAAATGGGTCTATTATCTACAGTAATTTACATCCACATAGTTGACCAATAGTATATGCAACTGTTTTAAAGGATGAAAAGTGGTACCCGCTTGAAAAAAGGTTGAAAAGCCCTGGTCTAAGGTGGAATGCATGGCATAACCCTCTGTATAGGCGGGCTCAGATTCATTATATACCCTCGCAACCATGTGACCTTCTTTCTTATTCTTACGAGTCTCGGAATAACGGCCACAGGACACCTGGCCAGATAACGAACATAATTCAAGGATTGCCGCCTTGATCTTGTATGCGGAAGGAAACATAACTTGTCAGAACAACGCAGGCTTACGCGGAAACCCAAAAGCGCCGCGAATCTTGTACAGTAAAATACAGAATTCATACTTTAAATACAGCAGATACTTAATAAGGTGAAGCTCCACAAGAATAAGCAAATCCTTTCCCAATTCAAGTGTGAGTTCAGTCCAAGTCTGACTTCCTTTGATAACAATATAATAGAGGTGGACTCCCTCTACAACAATATTGTCCACATTGACTTAATCTGCATTGTAAATTTTTTCTAGCATCATAGGGTTCTCTTGACATATTAGGGGTTCACTAAATATATATTTTTTTTTTAGTCCTTAGGATTTTGTTGTAAAGAGAGTCCACCTGTATACACCTCCCTAACTCAAAGACTTCCCCTTTAAGCCTTGAAAATTGCCCTTTCCTGGATGAGGCATTTGGGATATTATTCTAGGGACCCTCTAACAAGGAAAGCTAATAAAATGTTAACTTGATGAAATACAAAAAAATACTGATTAATTGGGCAAATAATGAAGCCTTGCCTTCAAGTTCAGAACCATATCAACTCATTTATCCTGAAGCCAAAGTCAAAGAATATCATTATAACCACCACTTCCTGCCATTCTCAATTTTTTTTACCTTGCAAAAATGTTTGTTTCCTTGACTTAAAAATCCACAAGTGAAATTTTATTGGGTCCCTATGAATTTTCCTGTAAAAAAAAATCTAGGAATAAATTAAAGATTGGATAAATGAAGTGATCTACACAATTTTCTTGTATCCACTCAATACATATAAATTAGATCAACTCCTTCAATCAAGTAGTGTATACAAAGTTTCCTCATAAATAACTACCTTATTGTTTAATTGAACACAATTTACAGATACTGTACAGTGAAATCTCGTTACAGCGAATCCCGTCATAAAAAAAACTATTTTTCTTGAACAAATTCATTTCTGAGGCCCCTCCAGTGCGGCCACAATTTTATTCAAGGCTGATTTTAATGGACTTTTCATAATTTCAGTCTTGAAAGATTCGTTATAACGAGATTTTATTGTACATGTACGCTTTTCCAGCCAACATAAGTCAATGAAAAGAGAACCTACAACTTATTTCACGGGACTCAGAAAAATACATTTTCAGATTTATGGCTCGACGTAAGTTTCTCAATATTCAGGGTTTTTGTTACTTTGAAAATTACGAGAAAATATTCCGACTCATTCAGTAATGAAAGTATGAAAATGAACGTTCGATGAACAATCGAAATATGTTCCATTTTTTATTTTTTGCGGAAAAACATGGTGGTTATGTACAGTATGAGACCACGAAAAAAGAGAGGAAATTTCGAGCCCTATTGAATGCCTGCCATCACCGGAAGAACTGTTATTTCAAATTATTTTCCCACTCAAACTCACAGATGACTTCACAGATTGCAAACCTCTTTTCTCACGCACTCATTCCACGGTTTTAATTCACTACCCGAGTCATGGCAACACGCTTTGTGAATATTGTACAGCTAGTGTAAACCATCCTTTCCGCTCCAGAAAACATTTCACACAATGAAAGTCATACTGGAAGACTCAGAAACACTTCCGTTTTCCCTCAAAATTTCCCTGATAAGAT